ATTATTCTATATGCAAGATCATGACATTTGCAAATAGAGATAATTTTAGTTCTTTTTCCCCTTCCTAATGCCTATTATTACATTTCATGCCTAATTGCCCTTCCTAGAACCTCCAGTACCTTCAGTACAATATTGAATAGAAGTAGTGAGAATGAACATCTCTGTCTTGTTTCTAATCTTAACGTGAAAACAGTCAGTCTTATACCATTAAGAATGATATTAGCTGGTTTTTGTGTAGCTGCCCTTTATCAGGGTCCTAATTTGTTGAATTTTTGTCAAATGCTTTTCCTGCTTCTGTTGAGGTGATCATATGCTTTTTGTGCCTTATTCTGTAAATATAAGGATATTACATTTGTTGATTTTCAGGTGTTGCACTACTTGGTCATGATGTGTAATCCTTTTTATGTATTGCTGAATTTGATTTGCTAGCATTTTGTTCAGGATATTTGTATCTGTAATCATAAGAGATATTGGGTTTTAGTATTTTTGTAATGTCTTTTTTTAATGATGAGTATGTTACTCTCTAAGCACTGCTTTATATGCATCCCATAGTTGTGGTATTTTGTATCTTCATGTTCTTTCATCTCAGTGTTTTCTAATTTTTCTTTTGTCCAGCTATCTGTTCATCGCATGAACACCTCTTTACACTACCTCTGACAAATGGACATTTCGTTTTTGCTTAAATAGTTACTTTGAGGAAAAGTTCACTACTTTGTAAGGTAGCCCACTCATTTTTAAACATCTCAATGTATCCAGCATGTAAAACTCTACATGTTGTTCTAGGTTATTTCTTTTGAAGTTGCCCCAAATTTGTTTAATGCTTCTTCCATAGGATAGTTCTCTAAATATATAAACATTATTTTCACTTCTCTAAGTCTTTCTTTAAGGCTAATTATATCCCATGCTATATTCCTTAAATTTAAGGCATTATTAAGATGTCCTTTATAATCCGTTTATCCTTTTAAAAAATTATTATTTCTTTTGAAATTTAATGTCTCAAAGTAGACATTAAGTCCTAGAACAGGAGTCAGCAATATCCTATAAAGGGCCAGATACAAATATTTTAGATTTTGAGGGCCATTCAATGTTTGTCACAACTACTAAACTCTGATTGTAATGTGAAACTGCCATAGACAATATATATATAATAAGCATGACTGTGTTAAACAACAACTGTTTTTACAGAAACAGGTGTCTGCGCCAGATTTTGCCCGTAGATCATAATTTGCTAGATGTTATCTAACCAGTGCAGACCCTAGTGTGATTATATCATCACTTATGAATGCTATTGCATTAATGTATGTTGAAGACTGTATTAAAATATTATGAGGGGAAGTTAGATATTATTCTCATATTTGCTCCTCTATAGGTAAGTGTTTTACCCTCTGGCTTCTTTCAAGGTTTTTTCTTCATCTTTCATTTTAATGTTTTTCCTGCTCTGTGTTTTCTGAGTTTTCTAGATTTGTGGTTTGGTGTCTGACATTAATATAGGGAATATTATTGGCTTCAAATATTGCTCTGTTCCTTCTCTTACTTCTTCTGGTATTGCCATTACATAAATTACATGTATGTTATATCTTTTGTAGTTGTTTTCATAGTTTCTGGATATTCTGTTCTGTTATTTCCATCTTTTTCTCTTTGCTTTCAGTTTTAAAAGTTTCTATTGACTATCCTTACTCTCAGATATTTTTTTCCTCAGCCATGTCCAGTCTAGTGAGTCTATCAAAGGCATTCTTCATTTCTTTTGTAGTGTTTTTGATCTCTGGAACGTCTTTCTTACTATTTCTTAGACTTTCCATCTCTTTGCTTATAATATCAGAGAAATATTGTCAATATTTAATGTGAGAACCTGTAAGAGCTCCTGGAACTAAAAGTCACAAAAGTGTGGGAACTCTCTTCCTCCCATGAATGTGTTCCTCTGGAGTTTTTAATTCTCAGAATTGTCCACACTGAGCCTCCAGCAATTTGAGAATTATGGTCAGATTTTCCTATCCCAATACAGGTTCCCATGGAGGTTTCTGCTCTAGTAAGTTGTGATTCTCTGTCTTTATGTCTTTCCAATTTGGGGAGCAGGGGTTTGACCTGTGACCTCATTTCTCTGATGGATCTCAGAATTATTGATTTCTCAGTTTGTTTAGAGTTTACTTGGTGTTAAGATGGAGTAGTAACTTCTAAGCTCCTTAAATGCTGGACCAGAAACCAGATGTTTTCTTCCGTAAGTTTTACATTTTTCATTTAGGTCTTTAATTTTTTTTTTTTAGGTCTTTAATTCTTATGACTTAATTTTTGTATTACAAAATTAGTTATGGATCAAGATTGATTTTTTTTTCTTTTTGTATAATTATTTGTGGGATGGAGTATCCTTTCTCTATTAAATTGCTTTTTCTTTTATATACTTGACCATATATGTGTGGGACTATTTTTTTGGGCTCTATTCTATTCCATTGTTCTATCTGTTTATATTCTTTCTCCATTACCACTCTGGATTGCTCTAGCTTTGTAGTAAATCTGGAAATGGGTCATGTGAGACTTCCTACTTTATTTTTTGGCTGACTCTTCTGTTTTCTTTGCTTCTCCATATAAATTTTACAATCACCTTGTTAATTTCTAGAAAAAGAAAAATCTTGCTAGGATTTTGTTTGCAGTTGTATTGAATCTATCAAGCATTTTGGGGACAGAGAGCACTTTGGGGAAACATCTTAAAATATTGAGATTTTTAATTCATTCAATAAATATGGGATATCTTTATTTGATTAGGTCTTTAATTTTCTTTAAAAATGTTTTGTAGTTTTTGCATACAGGTCTTACACATCATTTTAAAGATCTATATCTAGGTATTTCATATTTTTGGATGGTATCATAATCTATTATTTTTAAATTGTAATTTCTAATTTTTTCTAATATATAGACATATGATTAATTTTTGTATATTGACTTTCAAACAGCAGCCTTGCTATACTCATTTATTAGTTCTAGCAGCTTTATTGTAATTTTTGGAATTTTCTACATAATCATATTGTCTGTAAATATATTTTTTAAAATTTAGGTTTTCCTTTTCAAGAAAAAGTGTTGAGAGCAAATCTCCTTGCCTTGTTTTGATCTTGAGGGTAGAAGGGGTATGGGACTCAAAGCATTCAATCTTTTATCATTAAGTGTTAGCTGAAGGATTTTTTAAATACCCTTTATCAAATTGAAGGAGTTTCGTCTAGTCCTAGTTATCTGAGAATTTTTTTTTTTATTATGAATGATCATTGAGTTTTGTCAAGTGTTATTTCTGTATCTATTGAGGCGGTCGTTTGCTTTTTCTTCCTCAGTTGATGTGGTGAATTGCATTTATTAATCTTTGAAAATTAGTGTTGCATTCCCAAAATAAACCCAACTTAGTTATGATCTATTATCATTTTATGTATTTTTTAATTTGCTTTTTTTTTGAGAATTTTTGAATCTATGTTAATGAGGGATACTGGTCTGTAGTTTTATTTTATTATATCTTTATCTGTTTTGGATATCATGATAATGCCAACGTCATTACCTGAGTTGGGACGTGTTTCTTGTTTTTCTACAGTTCTAAAAATTTTGTATAGAATTCATATTTCTTCCGTAAATGTTTGGTAGACTTCATCATGACGTCATCACAACCTGTAGATTTGTGTGTTGCAAGATGTTTAACTACATAGTCAATTTTCAAAGTAGATATAAGATTATGCAAGTTATCTTTTTTTAAGATAAACTTTGACAGTTTATATATTTTGACAATTTCATTTAAGTTATTAAACTTAGGACATAGGTTGTTCATTTTATTTCTGTATTATTAGTTCGATATCTATAGGATCTATAATGGTGGCCCGCCTTTCATTCCTGACATTTGTAGCTTTTGTCTTCTTTTTTTTTTTTCTTAATCAGTCTAGCCAGGGGTTTATCAATTTTTTAATCAACAATCCTATACAATAAAGAGGTAGTATGCAAATTAACCCTCACAAGATGGCTGCCTACGACCAGGCCAGCAGGGGGGTTAGTGAGGGACGACCAAACGCCTGAACAAGCAGGCTGCGTGGGGCGATCAGGCAGGCAGGCAGGTGAGCAATTAGGAGCCAGCGGTCCAGGATTGTGAGAGGGATGTCCAACTGCCAGTTTAGGCCCAATCCCCGGAATCGGGCCTAAACCGGCAGTCGGACATCCCCCGAGGGGTCCCAGATTGGAGAGGGTGCAGGCTGGGCTGAGGGGACATACCCCCCCCCCCCCCAGCACAAATTTTGTGCACCGAGAGTAGTTATTATAAATACTCATTATTTATCATACAGCTTTTAAAGAACTTTATTTATATTCTTTTTAAATATTCAAGAAAGAATCTATAAAATATTTTCCATTGTTATCCTCTTTTATAGGTGGATAAACTTAGGCCTCGCTATGTTATGAAACTCCCTACTATATGATAGCCAGAATGACAAATCCAGATTCAAATCCAAGTCTAGGTGACTTCAACGGCTTTGTTTTTGACCACTCTGCTTTATTGACTGGTTTAAAGGATGAATTATAATCAGATAAGACCTATGAAGGGAATCCTCTGTAACTGGGAGCAAAGTTTTCATTTTCATCATTGGACTAATATTCACTGTTCTCTGTCTTTGGACCCTTTTCTATAAACAGTACATAGTACAAAACCTCTTGTCATAAGATCTCTGGAGATCTGTTAGCTCCTTCTAAAAGTTTCGACCACTCAGTGAGGGTACCTACCAAGAAGAGACAAAATTTGAAGACTTCTGGTTTCCACAAAATGCTTATTAATGCCTATTAAAATTTCAGAACATAGGATATTCCAAGACCCTCTAGTAACAACCTGAAATAGTTGTTCTGATGCCATCCATTCTTGGTGGAGTACAAATAAAAGCCTTGATTCTAAAACCTTTCCTGCCCTTTAAAATGTAGGTATTTATTTCCCTTCATAGGTATAAGATAGGCTTTTGAAAATAAAAGCTGACACAACCTGCTTGTTTCCTTAGGTCTGACGGTAACTGCTGTAAAAGACTCAGGAGAATGGAATTTGGAGGCTGGGGCATTAGTGCTTGCAGATGCAGGCCTTTGCTGTATCGATGAGTTTAATAGCCTCAAAGAGCATGATAGAACCAGTATCCACGAAGCAATGGAGCAACAAACCATAAGTGTTGCTAAGGCTGGGTAAGTGTTAAATCTATTTGAATCATTGAGATTAGTTAATATCTGATTATGGGAAATGTGAACCTTATTGAACTGTAAGGTATATTTGGTCCTCTCGGAGACACAGTTATCACCCTTCAAAACACATATTAATTTTCCCATGAAGGTGAATGAGGGAAGTAAAAATTAGTTGTTGGAACAAAGAAAGAAAAACTAAAGTGTAAAATAAATGTAAGTTGATTTAACTCATGAAGGGGACTTATGAAGAGCTTTCAATTCAGGCTCCAACCTATTATCTCATTCAATAATTGTGTGTCTACTCTGGGTTTATTATTATGTTAGGAATTTTGAAAGATTCAAAAAGACAAAACATAATGTCTGCTTTCAATGGTATTCTTGTGAGAATATCATTAATATGTTTTCATTTTATATAGTTGTGTGGGATTTTTACCCCATTTTTGGCATACTCCTCTTTAGGGGTACAAAGATTGTTTTTGTTTGTTTTTTACAAACATACCATTTATTTTGATTCTTTCCTCTGACCTTTTCTCATCACAGCTTTGAGACATAATTCACATACCAGATAAAATCCACTCTTTTAAAGCATACAGTTTCTTGGATTATAGTATATTCATAGAGTGTGCAACTACCACCACTGTCTAATTCCTGAATGTTTTCATCACCCCAAAGAGAAACCTCGTACCCTTTAGCTGTCAGTCCTCATCCCCTCCATTCCATATGTCCTGTCTCCCCTAATCCACTTTCTGTCACTATGGATTTGCCTGTTCTGGACATTCCATGTAAACAGAATCATACAAGATGTAACTTTTTGCATCTGACAACTTTCACTTGGCATAATATAATGTTTTTAAGGTTCATCCAGGTTGTCATGTCAGTAGTTTGGTTCTTTTTTATGGCCACTACCTTCCCACCATGTGCTCACTTGGCCTTTCCGCAGTGCATGAGTGTGGAGAGAGTGAGCTGTGTCTCCCTGCTTCTTTTTATGAGGACATAAATCCCATTATGGGGCTCCACCCTCAACACCTCATCCAAACCTAATACCTGTCTAAGGTCCCAACTCATATCATCATCCTGGTAGTTAGGGCTTCCGCATAATGAATTTTGGTGGGACACAAATATTCAGTCCATAACAGTCTCCATTACTTTCTTTTTTAATTGTGATTAAAAACACGTAACATAAAATTTACCATCCCAATTATTTTTAAGCGTGTAGTTCAGTAGTGTTAAGGGTAGTCACAGTGTTGGGCAACCGATCTTCAGACCTTTTCCATCTTGCAAAACTGAAACTCTATACCCATTAAGCAACAACTTGCCATTTGCACCTTTCCCGGTGCCTGGCGACCACTGTGTTACTTTCTGTTTCTGTGAATTTGATGATTGCCTGACCTGACAGTAGCATAGGTTCTTTTCCCTTCACTCCATTGGCTGCACTTAGTATTACAGCCCTACTTAACTGTAAGGCGGGGGGGGAGGGGGGGGGAATACATCTTGCTCTGTTCCCAGGGGAAAGGGAATAAGGCTTGGTGAACATAGAGCATCTACCACCACAGCCCAGAGTTAAGTTTGGAAGTGACAGAATGTGGGTGAATAAAGCCATGAGTGAAGACGGGGATCCCCTGTAAAGGCTGTTAATGAGAGACTCACACAAACAAGGGCACTTTCTGCTGGGCCTGCAGTGCTGAAAATAATGTGTACAGTATTTAGAAACTGTACAATATTTAGAAGAGTCACTACTATG